TCCAGCTTAGGTTATTAAATGAATTGTAGTTTCATTAACCAAATGAATAAAATTAACTGGTCTTGTTTTCCTCTTTGTTTTGCCTACTAGGAAGCTCAGAGCCAAGTATATGGCCCATTTCTAATATATGGCAAGTATTTTTGTACAGCCTGTAAATCTATAGTTTATCTGCCTTCTCTTGACAGGATTTTATCGACATTTCATAGGTCGCCTCTAAGTATTTTAGAATGAGGCAGAAAATAAGAGATAAGAAAGACTGGGACCAAGCCAGAGACAGCTGGACAAAGTAGCTGGGTCAGGGATATAACCTGCAGGCTGCCAACCCAGCCAGAACATTCGCCTTACCCTTCTTCCACCCTAGCAGAGGCCACATCCCACAAAAACAGCTGAAAAATGCCAGATTTCACTTTCTCAACCTCCCTCACAAGCAACGGTGGCATGAGATCAGCTCTAACTAATAAAACTGAAAAGTAACCTTCTAGAAAAGATTCCTGTTAAGAAAGAGTTGTAAGTAAATAAACTCCTTCCCTCCCTTTCATACATAGGCAGGATGTCTGGTGCTGCAGCAACCATATTGCAAACACGAGGCAATGAGCCTGAAGCTTTTTTTGATAAGCCAAAATACCAAGAATAGAGGAAGAAAAAGATGTACAGATTCTTAAAAGATGTATAGATCGTTGAGACACTGCACCAGCCTTCGAATCTAGATAACATAGATAAGAAATCACAGCTCTAGACTTTTTGCTACTGAATAAGCTCTATATTCAAGCCATTTTTAGTTGAGTATTGTTACTTGCCAAAGGCATCCTGACACAACAGAGGTCATCGCAAGGTCAGTTTCCAAAAGCCTGATTTTTAAACTGCTGAGTTAACATTATTATTATTATTAAGATGAGAATAATGTACTATGGTCAGGAAGAAAGCAATAAGCTAATAAGAGCTTGTGGGAGCAGCTAAAAACAGGAGGATATAAGGATAAATAACATTTGACAAAATGTGATCAAGTGTTAGTAGGTGTACTTCTTGGAAGCAGAAATAGAGAAAGAAAAGAATAAACATACAGAAGTGATCTAAGGTGGAGAAAATGAGGGAGACTTTTGGCAACGTGATAGACAAGATAACCTAAAAATCCTTCCCCGTATAAAAGAGTCCAAAAATACTAAGGTATAAGAAACATCTGTTTAAATGCATGGCCACGTTCACAAGAAAATAAAGGACTTCCTGAAACGCCAAAAATCCAAGAGGAACCTAAAAACCAGGGGCTTATAAGCTGATAATGTATGGAAACCTAGGGTTTGGAGGGCTAAGGGAGAGGGTGGGTTTTATGTGTGTAAAGGGAACCTGCCCTTTGGAATGTAATAAAGAAAAAAGTAAAGAAATGACTAGCCTAATATTTTCTTTAAAAAACACCATCTTGAAGACAATTACAACTTCTGTTTTCAACCTCATACATTTTCCCCTTTATGAGAGCAAATTCCAGGGTTAAATACACATTTTAAAAAACACATCCATATTACATATTTACATATCACAAAGGGTATCCTCAATATTTCACCACAAACTTAAAGATATAAATTATTTCCCAAAAATCCACACATTGCCCAATTTTCCAGCTATTATGAAAAGAACCATCACTGAATCAAGTACACAAATTCAGTATATTTGTAACCATACTAGGTTTCCAAATCATAGGACTTTTTGATAAAATAATTATCATTAGGGTCATAATAATATTCTTCTAGTGGCTATGATACCAATAGTTTCGAAATACCTTACATAACACACAAAAATAATCTGTCATCTTTGAGCTAAACTTATGGCCCTCTACATTAGATTTTTTTAATCATTGCATATGATAAAGGGAACCTGAAAAGAATGTGATGTTTGGGAAGTCCACAGACTTAGAGGGCGGTCTCTAACATTACAAAGGCACGGGGAAGGAATTATAGGTTTCATCTAAAAACAAAAAAACGTGAAAACCTCTAAAGGTCCTCCAATGAGTTTATCTTGCTCTCATCTCATTTGTTTCCCATGATTCTTTGAAAACTGAAGACATTATATATTCTTTATTCATTTTCGCTTTCATGAGGGCTTTAGAAACCGGAGCACCCTAAATTCTATTAAGTCACCGCCATCACCTCAATTCAAGACTTTTTTTCAAAAAGTCCCTTCATCCTTGGGCAATCCAGACAGCCCAAGAAATAGATGTATAACTTGTATTATCTGCACAAGGGTTACATTTGTCTCCACTGCATTCTCAAATTTATGTAAGACTGAACATTTTAACCTAGTGTTTATATACAATAGATGCCACAATAAAAACACCATTCTAAACGCTGCTTTACATTGTGTTGGATCTTGAATGTTTTCCCCACAGCCTATGTGCTAGGTGGTTCAAGACTAAGCATTTATTCTACAAATAAAGCCAGCAAATGTAAGGGAAATCAACTTCGAGATCAAGAACCCAAGTGTGCGTGAAAGGGCTACACTTGGCTTGGTTCTCCCCATCCCGCTGACAAAAGAAGATATAGTGAATCGTTTCCAGCCCCAGGGTATAGGAGACCCTCCTGAGACTGCTCCGGGGTCCTCCGAGAATAAAGCACGAGTTAGCAGAAAAGGGAGGCTCCGAGAGGCGCGCTGCATTCTGGGACTCGTTTCCACAGTTACCCACGTGCACCCAACCCAACCGCGGCCAGGACTACAAGTCCCAGAATTCCGAGGGAGAGCCTTTCCCCTTCACACCCGGCGACTGGAACTAGACCCTAAAGGAAACCCCTAAAGCGCTCTCCCTGCTCGCCTAGGAGAGGTTGCAACCCCTAGGCTCTACGCGGGGCCTTCGGCGCGATGCTCCCTGCAGGGAAGCAGGTCCCAAAGGACCAGCCTCCACACCTGACAAGCAAAAATTAGAAAACTGCGTCACAGACTGCCAAATCCAGGGACCGCCAGGGACCCTGACACCTCCCCTGCGCAAAACCGCCCACCAAACCTCCAGGGCCGACCCTCCGGCTCCCGCCGCGGAAAACCCGCAGCCTGAGTCCCTGCCCCGCCTCCATCCCGCC